AGCCTTCGGCGCCAGGGTTCTCACCAAGAGTTCTAGTTGTCACGCAAGTGCATTGACCGCGTTGCCGCATCGTGGTCCTCCCCATCTACCTTGTACGCTTTTTGAGCTAGGGACTTCTCCCTGTAACTTGTTAGATGTGGTTCGTGAGAAGGTTATGCAACGCATCAAAGTTTACCGCACTTTTCCTTAGCACACTTGTTCATGGTGGCGATCGCTCTAGTTGCGAGTTTAGGTGATGGAGATTCATGCTAGACGTAAAATGGCACAATTGGAAGCTGGACGACAGTTGAGAGAGCTCGAAGGCAGTTGGGTAGCTATGGTTACCAACAATTACAGGTGAGCTATTTTAACTACTGTGGCGCATGGCTTGAAGTAAAGTTGATCTTGAGAGATAGATTTATACCGTCTATTTTAGTGGATTAGGGTGAAGCTTGAAAGTGCTGTTGCTGCTGTTAGTGCAGCTTCTCCTTATAGTTTGGTGCTAGCATGTATTCATGCATTCGAATGCACGTGAATTGCTTTGCAGATGTCGAATGCGCGGCGCATTTCAAAATTATTTCCAAATATTCGCAATATTTTCGATTAGCACTGCTCGGTTTTTGCTAGTTCCGTAATTAACAGGACCCATTTTGGTGATACCTGTGAACTCTTGGAAAGCTGAGGAATAGTACAAGAGAGCCACGTGATTACAGGAATTTACAGACCCCACAAGGTCCAGTATACAGACTTCTATGTGTACCATTTATTGCCCCTACTAAGCTTTTTCTATTTTATTCAGCGGTGTTGAGTGAACGTACAATTTCAGAATGGAGCTCGCCAACAACCAGTTGGCGGCTGAGAATGCACAAATGGCTAAAAGACTACGGCTCGATCCAGCAGCAATTGATAAACTTAGCTAGTTTGTATTTTTCATGTGGTCTCGTGTTGCTTTTATTCACTGTAAATGACCTGTTATGTCTGATTTTCCTCTAATAAAGCTGTTGACATTACTACAATAAGGTTTTGATTCGGAAGGATTGAGTGATGGATTGGTGCCAAAAACATGCTGGCTGAGCTTTTGTTCTTTTTTACTGAGGAGCAGGATGTGTATTAGAGTTTGTGTGATGGGCATTGGAGAAATTTCAAGGACGCAGTTGTACAATATCCTGTATTGTTACTTGATAGCTATCCAGAACTGCTTCTGTTCTGTTTTTCATACCTGTTTTGAATTTGTTTTTTTCAAAAAACAATGTGGACACTTCGAACTGGAGTGGTCTTTTTAGGGCAGCGTTCAGACTTCGCAACGGCAGCGCTTCGGTCGCGCGTTCGACGCGATTACATCGTTGTTGGGTGTCCAAATGGGGGTCGTATTTGGCCAACACGAGAGGGGAGGGGAGTTGATATGGGCTGGGAAAATTTGTTTTGATAGTTGGTTTTTCTTGCTTCAGGGACATTGTAAAGGGGGGGGGGGTCGTACTTGGTCATGTTGGGAGGGGGAGGTCGTATTTACGTTTCTCGGCGTTGTAGGCGGAGGGCGGTGTTGACTTTTGATTCCTGTTTCGTATGTACTACATACCCCCTCGGTAGGACTCGATCTGTTGAGGAGGGACAGAGGACCGGAGGGGGGCGGGGTCGTACCAACCCCCAAGAAGAGAGGGGGGGGGTCGTGCAAAACTCGACAAATCTCCAATCCATGAATGTTCCCTGGCAGACGTTTAATGCAGTCGAAAGCATGCGCATCGATCGCGTCGAACGCGCGACTGATGCGCTGCCGTCGCGAAGTCTGAACGCTCCCTTAGACGCTGGTGTCGGGAAAGCGTTCAAAATCAATTTGAGAAACAAATTCCGACCGTGAATCGCAGAGCCCGTGATGCATCCTCCTACAACCCGAGTACTCGCACGAGTAGTATGTGGGTAGAAGAGTGGGATCTACTGTATGAGGGTGCTGCAATGACAACATTTGCGTTGCAAAACCTGTCCACTCATCTTGAAAACACACGTAGAGTTCGAGCCAAGCGAGGTCGCGAAGTCCTCGTGGCAAAGACGCACCTCTTCCCATTAGTAGTTGGCAGTGAACTTGTGAAGTGGAGACAGAGTTCAAGGCTGCGTTTAGGCTTCGCTATAATGCGCTACGACGCACGACATCGCCAAGTCTGAACGCGACCTAAGGAGTACGGGTCAAAGCAACTTATTGCATAACAGCTGCTATTGTAGCTATTGTGTAGTTAGAGCGTATTGCTATTCATTATTAGAGCGTTTGTTCGCCTTTTGATACAATGCACCTCAAGGTCTCGTATTTAAAGGTTCTGATTTGACCTGGAATTCAATTCTGTGGTGTGGTGTGATATCATATAGATTCACTGCGAACTTATTAATGCTCCTCGTCGTGGCACAAGTTGATGTAAGTGTTTTCTGTAGAGTTGCTAACTTTTACAACCTTGTCCAGCTGCAATATCCTATCCTACTGAATATAAACGGCAACGTCTGACTGTCTGTCTGTCTGTATGTCTGTCTCTGTCTGTCTGTCTGTCCGTCCGTCCGTCCGGAAATTCGGAATCACCTGAAGAGTCCAGTTGAGGGGCGGGTCAAGGGTGGGTTGGGTAGGGCATGGGCCAAGATGTACGGAACACACATGAACTGAGCTAAGCCCCGCCCTGTGGGCGGGGCGTGCGCACAGTTGTGAGCTACATATTTCAAAAATTCGTAGTTCGGTTCCAGAAGAGCCCGGAGAGCGGAAAAAGTGGGAAACGATAAGCAGTCAGTTGGCGGACGAAATGAGGGAGTCACACCCGTATGGACCGGGCGTGCTATAGGTGGGCGGTGCTTGCTACAAAACTTTCAAAAATTCGTAATTCGGTTCTAGAAGATCCCGGAGAGGGGAAATTGTGGGAAACGATAGGCAAACAG